TAGTATAATTGCAGCAAACAACAATTACGTAACGTACGCAAAACGCGTACTCAATTACGTTGATGTGCAATTTTGAAACTTTGTTTATGCTGTTTGCATGTTTTACTTACGTAAGTCCAGCTGCTCTCCAGGCGTTGGTCATTTTGATATTTTTATTTCGCAAATTATTCGCACCGAGAACAAAATTTCAGACCTTTGCTAGAGCAGGCGCTTTCGGAGTTGAAGATGAAACTTACGGATATTAATATCCTATCGATATTTTTAATGCAAATCTTCGATATTACACTCGAGCAACACTGCAGATACTTATCGTGTATCGATGCTATTTTGCAATATATTTGCAATCTTAGACGTGTTCGGAATAAACCGTTATTCAGTTATGCCTGGCAAAAGCATAACAGTTTAATTGCCGATTGTTGTTTTAATTAGCATAGGATTTTTAATGCAATGAGTCTCAATACTTTATAAAAAGTATCGACCTATCGATGCTTAGCAGCACGATTTGTACTCACTGCCTCCGCTTTGTTTGTGTTGTGTCTCACTTGCACATGTGTAACAGTTGTTGTTTAACACTAATGTTTAATTGTGAATAAATTGACTGGTCAATTTAATTCCTGGTTATCATTCTAAATGGACTGTTGGCAGCAAGTTTTCTTGCAACAAGTTTAAGCGTAATGCGTAAGCATTTGCACAATGCGTAATCACGTCCATATGTGTAGATATCGTATGGAATATGTGGAAAGCATGTGCCGCTAACTTAACCAAAGGTTAAGGTTTAACTAAGCATATTTAATTATTGCACAACTCTTACAAAGCCCAGATGCAGATGCAGTGCAACACAATGTCTGCCAAGCCACCAATATTAATTATTGAGCCATTCTTCGGCGGCAGTCACAAGCAGCTCATAGATACGTTAATTGAATGTAAGTAAAAGTATTCAAAGAACTAAAACTCTTAAAGCTCACAACGCTGCCAACAGGCTTGAACCTGGCTGACTATGAGATCTTTAGTCTTCCTGCCAAGAAGTGGCATTGGCGCGCACGCACCTCTGCGCTCTATTTCTCGCAGCTAATACCGCCGGAACACGATTACAAAGTGCTGTTAACGAGCTCCGTGCTTAATTTGGCCGAGCTTATTGGGGTCCGGCCGGACCTTGTCAGCTGCCGCAAGATTGTTTACTTTCATGAGAATCAACTGGTCTATCCGGTGCGTGAGGTCAAGGAACGGGACTGCCAGTATGGTTTAAATGAGATTCTTACTTGGTGAGGCGTGCATTTTTTGTTGTCTTTGCCAATTTCAATTTGAATTTTCTGCCAGTCTTGCCGCGGATATTGTCCTTTTCAATTCCAACTTTAATCGCATGTCCTTTCTGGACAATGTGCAACCCTTTCTGAACATCCAGCCCGACTTTAAACTGAAGCACATACGAGAGCGCATCGAGAAGAAATGTGAAGTGCTTTATTTTCCCATCAAGTTTCATGCCTTTCCCAATAAGCGGCACATCATGGACGCGGAGATCAACACGGAGCCGGACAGCTTGCATTTGATTTGGCCACATCGCTGGGAACACGACAAAAATCCGAAGTTGCTCGTGGAAGTGCTTATGGAGCTGAACAAGCGTCAGGTTGACTTCAAGGTGACAATTTGCGGTGAGAGCTACCAGGCGGTGCCGGAGGCCTTCGATGGCATACAGGAGAAGCTGGGAGCCAAGCTCATCAACTTTGGCCACCTAACGCGCGAGGAGTATATTAAAACGCTGCTAACTGGCGACATTGTCATCTCGACGGCTGGCCACGAGTTCTATGGTGTGGCCATGTTGGAAGCCACCTATTGCGGTTGTTATCCGATTGCGCCCAACAAGCTTGTATATCCGGAGATTTACCCAAAGGAGAACCTATACAATACGTCCAATTCGCTGATTAAAATGCTATACAACTGGTGCCGCAATCCGGAAATCTTTCGCCGGCATCGGGACAAATTCTTTGACTACTTCACCTTTGAACGCTACTCGGCACAGCATTTGGTGCCCAAGTATATGGAAAAGATGCGCATTTCGGTTTAGTGGTGCCTTAAAGACACGTCAGTGCGTCATATGATAATTCCAAATTGCTGTTTTGTGCAATAAGCATCGAATTTAGTTTGTAAGCCAAGCGAAAGATAACTGACCAATTTACCACAAACACACATTATAAATAGGTATATATTACTACCTATATACAAATAATAATTATATAGTTGAAAGCCATAAGTTAATACGACATGTTCACAATTGCTTAGATGCAGCCGTACTCTCTTTTTAAATGTTTGCCAACTATCCTATATATGTTTATTTTTGTATACAATTGTTAAAATATGAATTGCCAGTTTTTGGCAGCAGGTTAGCTGCAAGTTGTTGTCGTCAAATACGCATTTCGTTATAGATTTAAATTGCGTTTGTTATATGCCTAAGATTGATGCGACTATAAATATGTGTTTACCTTAAATCGCTCTATGATATTATCCCTGAATCGTGTATGACAATTAGTTAAATTGGTTAATTAATATCGGAAACCGTTTTGTATTGCAAAATGCTTTTTAGAGTTGGTTTTATTGCGTATGTTTTATTCGCCAAGCCTATGCCCATCTCTGTCTTAACCATGAAATCTCTGTCTCGCAAGGCGGTCTTGTTGAGGCCTGCATGCGTCTCAAGAGTTCGTGATTTGAATCAGGGCTTTGTGGCTACTCTCTTTTTGATATTGACAGTTTCGATACATTCACCTTATGTACACAATCTTAAAATTAGCTATTTTCATCCAGGATTACTTTAAAAACGAAATACAAAAACGCTTAAGCATACAAAATGAAAATAAAACGAACTCAAAACTCAACAAGCATGCCTAACCGGGCGGCATTAAAAGTGATTCTCTTTGAATTTGGGCGGCGCCCTGTACTTCTCCTTGATGTGCGCACGATACTCCTCATCGTCGTGGCACTCGCGATAGCATTGGGCACAGAAGAGCTCCCCATCACAGCCAAGGCAACGGTAAACAGCATCCTCGTTGCATATATTACACCAAGGCAGCTCCTCGTTTTCGCTGCCGTTCGGATTGCTTGTTGTGCCCAGCTCAGCCTCTAGGGGATCGGCTGCGGCCGGCAACTGGGCTTCTGCTATGTACTGCAATAAATCGAGTAAGTTTAAGGTACACACAAATGATTCCGAATTCCAAGGCACCTTTTTCATAATTTCTTGCAAGACAGTTTCATCGTTCTCATCCTCGTTATCGCTGGGAGTATTTGTGGCCGCCGAGCTAGATGCAGCTTCCGCTCCAGCACCGTCGATGGGTGCATCGCGCAGGGCACGCAAACGCCTCTCAATATCGGAAATGGCATCGTTGCGCTCATCATCGACACGTTGATCCAGCTGTGTTTCGCCCAGAAACTGGTGCAGAAGATCTTTGATTTTGTCTTGATCAGTTCTTTGGTCGGTGGACAACAGCAGATCCTTTTTGTCATAGTTTTTCTGATGTGGCATGCCGCTCAAATTGGAAAGACGCGCACGTATATCGTCGTCAGTCGTTTCGACAGCCTTCAGATTCTGCAAGCGTTTGCTAATTGCGCTGTCCAGGTTCTCGTCAATATCCTCGCTGCCTGTGCCCTGAACCGGAGCCGCTGCTGCATTGCCAGCCACAGCACTGCTTATGGGCGCCAGCACAGCGGCCAGCTCCTCGGAGGGCAGCAGATTGCTGTAGTCGGAGATAAAGGTGTCTCATTATACATATGCAAACAGACGCGATTGCTTTAATTGCGTACTCAAAGAGTGCATCGGCTGCCTCGGCATCGGCTGGCGTTGTGTTCTTTGGCGGCAGACGCAGCTTGGTCACCAGCTCTCCGGGCAGCGCTTCGCAGTCAATGACTTTCTCGGCATCGGCGTTGGCCTGCATCTTGGACAGTTTGTCGTAGCAGATGAGGCACACGTTGAGCACCTTGCCGCCATGACGGGGCACAGCGATTGGCCTCTTCAGGCACTTTGCGCAGTACGAATAACCGCAGTTCGGGCAACCGTGCTGCAATAATCTAATTTAAATCTACGCCAAAATCATGCCGTGCACAGCTAGGCCGTCCTTACCTCCTTGCAGAAAAGTCCATACTTACGGCTGCAGCCGTAGCAGCTCATTTTGTGGTCAGGGCAACGTTTCTGAACGTTTTCTTTTTAGAATTTAGAAAAAGTAAACAAAGATTTTCTTATTGGACGAAATCAGCGCTCACAAAGCTTTGACTCACAGTGTATTTTGCTCATAAGTATCGATATATGCCGATATGCTATCGATATTTAGCTCGTTTCCCTTTGCTCACTGTCGTCTCTAGACAGGCGCACTAACGCTTTTGAACCAGTGTACCCATTAAAAATGGACGAATAGGCCCTCAGCTATGCATATATTTGCAGCTAGCCTCTGTTAACTAGCAAATGTGTCATAGTTCCCCAGACAACAGTCTCTTCTTCTCTTCATACCTATGCGCCCTTTAAACTTTATATATGCATCTTCTGAAATTCATCGTCTTCCAAGCGGTTCTTATGTCCACGAATATGTTGATGCTATTTGTTGTCATATTTTATTATTGTATTGAACTGTTATTTTGTGTTCTGTTGAATCTATGTACATATCTGGTTTACTCGTTGTTCGTTTCCCCAAAATCCCACCGACTCAGTACATGAGAATCGCATAGAGAGGCGAGAGATTAAGTCGATTGTTTCTTTTTATTTGTACATACTCATAAAAAAAATTATATTGCAGAACTTAAGCAGCGCAACTGAAGTAACTTTTAGCTGCCGCATATTTTTCTCACATTTTGATCGCCTAATGCGAAGTGAGTTCAGTTTCACAAGCTATATAGATGACAAATAATATAAAATTTCCATGAAGATTTTATATTTAAAAAAACCTATTTATATTTAAGAGTTTCAGGGAATGTAAATCTCTTGTGTTTTGTTTTTCATATTGGCCATGAAACTAATATGCATATTAAGTTTTATATATGTATATGTTATCATAATTATATTTAGTATAAATGCAAAATACAAAATTTCATGCGTGTTTGTATATCGTGTTGCGCATACATTGAGCCATATGCATTATTTTAGACTTTAAACCTAGGAGTATGGGATAAAATATAACTTTGAAGCTGTGTATTATGGGTTAAGGAAACTTGCGTTATTTTGTTTTTTCTCTTCTCATCTTTTTCTTGTTCTCTTTTTGGTTTTTTCCTTTTTCTTTATCTTTTGTGGAAACCACAAAACAAATCGAATTCCCGACAAATACACGAGTAAATACTTTCATTGCTGCAGATAAAGCGGTTAGATCGGTTTTGGGTTTTCTGTTGGATTGTTTGAGTTTTATATATATGTATATATTTGTTTGTTTTTTTTTTCTTTTTTTGCATTTTGAGTGAACTATTCGGATGGAGTGAGATCGCGTTCCAGTTCGTTTTCATTGAGTATTTGCGATAGCAAATCGTGCAATGGCTCGAGAATTTTTTTGGCGCCGGTATTGGTGAGACTCTTATAGTCGAACATATCGTGATGGCTAATGCTGCCGTCAGCCTGCACCAGGCCCTTGTCGATGGCCACAGTTTGCACGCGATCCAATCCCTTTGTCTGCTCCTTGACTAACTCATTGATCTCGGCATTTTTGTCGCGCAGCGCATTCGGATGCTGGCCTCGTGGTAGTAATGACTGCGAAATGTGTACAAAAAATATGGAATATATGAATTGAGCTTGAACTTAAGAACTCTCTCTCTCTCTCTCTCTCTCTGGTTTATTTACCGGCAGCAGAATGTACGCGCCGGGCAGTTTTTCGCGTATCTTTGTGACATTGGCGAGCAGACCTTCGGCGACTTCGGCGGCGCTGTTGCTCACATTGTTGGTGCCGACGTGCAGAACAACTATTTTGGGATTGACATTGTCGAGGGCGCCATTCTCGATGCGCCACAGCACATGCTCGGTGCGATCATCCCGTATGCTAAAGTTGAGGCAGTGCAGCGGTGCGAAGTACTGGTTCCAGGTGTCGGTGTCCTGCAGCATTTCGAATATGCAATCGCCGAGGAATATCACGTCCGGATCCTTTTCGCGGCAATCGGATATAAATCGGCGATGTATGCTCTGCCAGCGCTTGTCGCCGTCAACATCGGGCACGGCTGTGGGCACAGCGCAGGGATTCATGTTGTTTTTGTTTTTGTTGTTGTTGTGTTTGTTTTATATTCAGCATGCGGTGTACGCTGTTGCAACCTTTTAAACAGATATACAAATTGCTTAATGGACTCGTTGAACTCGCGGCCGTCGCAGCAGTTTTGTTGGGGCACCTTTTCTATGAGTTGCCCAAAGCAGTTTGTATAGCGAACGCAGGTGAAAATAATTATAACCAAGACAATAATTGACAACACAAAATAGCGGCGGCGTTAGTGATGTACAATTGGGCCGCCCATCGAATTTAATCATCGCTTCGAACAATCGAGAAAAATTATACGCGATATATCGGTAAATTGGTAATTGTTAGCTATTTCCAGTTAAGATTAAGATTAATGTGTTTGTTTAATTGCGCCCTGCATTGCACTGTTCCTTAAAGCACAAGCAGTGCTTGAAACATAGAGCAAACTACTGACAATTGTCAAAGTTAGACATGATTATCGCATTTTGAATAATGCTGAGCTCAGTTCAATAGTATTTTTCGTGCTTCTCCCACTATCAACTGAGCGAATTTCGTTACATTAAATATCGATAGCTATTGTGAAAAATCCATCGATATCGATACTGCAATCGGTCATAGTTTTGCAGCCCTGGCCGCCGCTTGTCACTTTTCCCTGACATCAGACGACACTAGACGGCAACATTGCTACTGGAGAATTAACTGCAGTATTTCAACGAATTTATCGCATGGAAAGCAGCATTTTATAAATAAACAATTATAAAAGCGCAACGCGCGATCCAAGCAACATGGATGTGGACCTCAGTCTGGACGAGATAATTGAGCGCAAGCGCATACACAACCCTCCACGAACCAACGATAAAAAACTGTAAGTGTTCGGGTCAAAAGAAAATGGCGCTGCTCTGCTAACGTTTGCATATTCCGTTCATGCCATAGCCATGCCATTCAAATGAAGCCTCGAAAGCCGGTTAACAAGCCGGGCTCACACACACGCACCTACGATGCACGCAACAAGATCATTCAGAAGACGCGCGCCAAAATTGTCGATGCACGCGATATACTCAACCAGAACATTCGCGATTCTGGCATTGATGCCCGCAATGTGCTGCTCGAGCGCAAGAAGGAGCGCATGCCGATGCCTCTGCCGCTGCCGCCGCAGGCGGGGCGTGCGCCATCGCGTGCTGGCGGCGGCATCGGTGGTGGCCTGCATAAGGGCCGATTTGGTCAGCGCATAATTACAATGAGCAATCGGCCGGGCGGCGTAATACAAACGCTCTGGGATCCCAAGGAAGAGCGGCCCTCACATGGCGGATACAAACACGGTGGCAGTTCAGGAGCGCCGTATCAATCCAGTCGGCTAAATGCAGCCGCCAAGCCATTTATACCACGCGGTTACGTGGACTACGACAATATGCAGGAGTTGGAGGATGGTGAGTTCATCCGTGCATCCGTTTATCCGTTCATCCTCAGCAAACTTAATCGGTGAAATGTCTATGTTTTGTTCTTGTAGAGGAAATTGCACGCACGCTGCATTTGGGCAACTACAATAGCCAGCCGACAGGCGGGCAGCGACCACGCATGGGTCACGGCTATGACAGCTATAGCTTGGATATGGACGGCGTGGAGATAACGCCGCAAGGCACTAATAATTTGGCCGGTGATCCGTTTGCCATTTATGAGGCGGCGCGCAATCGAGTGGAGCGGCCGTCTATGCCGCCACCGCCGCTTGGTGGCGATAAGATATTCGAGCGCCGACAGCGCAATTTGGTGGCAACCTCTAATTTGCCGGATTCGCTGCGTGCCCGTCTCTTTGGCAGCGAGCCAGATCGTCGGGTCTCGCATGGCATCTATGCGAATGAGAATGGCAGCGAGCCGCCGAAGGGGCATTTGGCTGCACCAGTTATGCCTTCGATGCCCATGCACCAGCGTCGCAGTCCACCAACCATATCGTTGCCGCTGCCATTGAGCGTGGTGAACAACAAGCCCGGCTATCGGTTGCTGGTGAGCAATCTGCACGCAAACGTGACCACGGCGGACATACGCGAGCTGTTCAATGACATCGGACCCATGTATGATGCGCATGTGGTGCGCCCGGGCACTGCGGAGGTTATCTACAAGTCCTTGGAGCACGCCGAGATGGCCGTGGACGCCTATCACCAGCGTGAGTTCGATGGCCAGCCCATGCACTGTGTCCTGGTCAATCCGCACTCATCCAATCGTTCCGCACACTCGATCAGGTTGGTATTCCGTTAACACTACTCTTCTGCTGTTTTCATAATTGTCTGCATGCTTCTTCAATTGCTGTAGCTCTCGCACCGTTACCACAAACTCATCCGGCGTGGAGGTGGACATTGATGCGCTGCACTCGGTGCTCTTCCGGGATCGCTAGACAAATGTCCCGTACAGAAGCCACACGAACTTAGGCAATTACTACGTGAACGTTTAACCTAGACACATGCATCAATTATCAATAACGTTATCTATACGTTAATCCAGCATTGGTCATTAACTCGTAACCCTTTTTTTTAGATTTAAGCCTATATTGCTGTACATTTTTGTATGCGTTGGCCACACACAAATTGCTCGGCGCCCGCTCAGTAAACCGTTAGTCAAGTTTAAACCAAGTATTTTCAATAATTTCTCATATACGATTTTCTTTTCTTGTCTTAACCAGAATTATACCTGCAACAGTGGCTGTCTTTAGGGCTTCGCCAGGGCTAATAACAACTCCGAAGTCATCTGAACCCATGATTTGTTTCTGCCTCTTCTTTTGTTAATACTCAAAGCATCTAGGAACCAATAAAGTATATAATTGTAGTAACTGCAACAATGTAATATTTCGATTTTCCAAGTATTGCCCATTCCCAATTGCATGTCCAGGCCGACCTTTAATTCAAATTTATCAGAGGGCTTTAATATTTATGTGTTCTGAAATAAATGTTCAAATGTCGGACCTTAAATCATTTTGAAATACATTTGGGATTCCTCTCAAATGCGCATAATGTTTGTTTCTTGTTTAATATTTATTACATATTACATAAAAATGTACAGTAAATATTTTAAGATCGCATAAAATTAATTCATAATAATTAAGTAAAAAAAGCAGGATTAAGTCAGCAATTGAAGAGGTGCACAAAAAAAATTAAGAAGTAGATTATTGATTCACCGTGAGGAGCGGCTCTTCAATTATCCCGGATGCCAGTGCCGTAGTTGGCGCCGCCGGCACGGTTCAATGCCTCGCGGAACAGCTCAATGTCCAGTTCGGCCTGGACGCCCGCCTGCAGCTCCACGGCAAAGTTCTGTCGAAGAAGATATAGTAGAGAATGAGGTTTCTGCCAGGAGAGCGAAAGAGAGAGAGAGAGAGAGAGAGAGACTTACGTTGAGCACATCCTTGATGAGCGCCTTGTCCGTTGACATTTTGGCGCGTTGTATGACGCCCACCTCCTGGCCAATCCACGTTAGAAAGATGAACTTCTTGCGCTTGGACATCTCATCGCCCATCTGTATGCGTATGTAGCCGAAGGCGCGCTCCGAGTCCCCGAACTGCTCGCGGAACTGCTCGAAGCACTGGCCACGCCCATGCACAATTATCTGCGCGCCATCGAACTTAAAGACAGCCCACTCGGTATCTGTCAGATCGGAGCGGACATCCTCATAGGCCTCCCGTATGGCGTCCTTGTCCAGCGAAGTCGCCAGCGGCATCTGTGTTCCAATCAAATGATATGCATAAGTATTTGCTTAAGCCTGGCTTTTGCTTTTCAATCTAATCGATGCATTTAGCTGCAGTCCGGAAACAGACCCCTACCCCCCTCCCTCCCACACCCAGCAACACACTCCCCGCCGTCTCTGGCAAGTTTTTGTTTTAATTTTCAAGTTCATTTAATTTGCTCGCTGTTGGGTTTTCTGCGTTCGTGTTGGATTAACGCCTTGTGGTGTAATTTATGTGGCGCATCTGCGCATTCAGGCAACACGTATCCGTCAGATACTTTCGCTTTCGTTTCCGTGCCAAGAGCCAAAACAATAACAATAACAATAGCAATCAACAAATTATAAATCAATCACGCCAATGCATTTCGCACAAAACTCTTCAATTTGTTCAGCTCGAAATGTTGCATAAATTATATTTAGTGCAATTGCAGTTGCATGAAGATTAAATAACTAAGCGCGAGTACCATAAACCAAATAAACCATATATGTACATATATTGGTACAATTGGAATTTATCAAAATACGCTGGCTTTTATTTCGAAAGATATTGTGCAAGAAAAAGCCTCATTAAATAATATTTATTATTGTTTATAATTAGTTGAGAATTTTAGTTTATTTTTTTTTTTCAATGTAGGCAGAAATCGTTACAATAGATAATATTATCTTCAATGCTGTATAAAAAAGATTATTTATTTTTCATTGAAAAGAGAAAGATTGGGAAAGCCATCGCTTTCTTCTCTATGTTCTCTTAAGCTGCATATTCTTTGAGATTTCAATATAGTTTTTATTTTGTTTAATGTATTTGTTTTTTTCGTACAATAGCTTCAAACTTAACAGATCTTCAGGGCTGCAAGCCCTTAAAAAGTATCTGTGGTTCGGTTCACGGTTTGAACCAGCTCGTTGCCTCTCCTCGTCAACTCGAGTATTATAATTAATAATTAAGTGCCCGCTAGTACTGAAAATATTCCAATTGATAAATATTTTCGCATACAAAATCCGGGCTAAATTTGAACTCTGCTCAAAATTGGAAGCTAGTAAATGAGGCTAGATAAATCCAATGGCCGGGCTCAAAGTTAGTTTCACTTTGATACTAGATCTATTTGAATATTTGCTGTATTTCTAGTTCTGATCTAGTTCAGTTAAGGGCTCGATGCATACTAAGCAAATGAATCAGAGTTCCGGAGTGGAACTTATTTGGTTCAAAAGCGATTTACAGTTATGATCAACATTTGTTCTGTGACAACCAAAAGTGCATTTACAGCTTTAAAGTAACGCAAGAGAACAACAAATAAGCAAACATAATTATTTATTTAATATAATTAAATTTCATTTAACGCCCAGCTTCATCGCGCAAGAGCAATAAACAAATACAAATAAATCGTTCAAATTGCCCGTATATCAATAGAGCCCGTTCTGGCGTTTACTTTATTATTGTTTAACTAGGTTTATGCTTTAATATGATTATTTGTGGGCAGACTTTCCAACTGTCATGTGGTCTGCGTTGCAACAGGGAGCCGGAGGGGGAGACCCCACATGCTCTTACTTTCGAGAGAGTTACAGC